GTCAGACAGGCAGTGTTTGATGTAGGATTTGAATCTGGGTCCTCTGGCTTCAGAATCAGAGCTTTTCCCATTGTCCCAACCTACCTTTCTGGTCCTCTTTCACTCTTAAAGTTACATCTCTGATTTACTAATTATATATTTTTTATTATTCCACTTTCCTGTATCCCTTAGAGTCCTTCCATATAAGCTTATAGCTTATTCTTTTAATAAACTCATTTTATTGATACCTTTTGTTTTTACGTAGTCTTTGTTTCCTAATTTATCCTTCCCTTCCTCCTTATACAAAGAACACTTCCTTGTAACAAAGAATAAAAAGCAGTGTATTCAGTATTCCACACCTATAGTTCCTTACCTCTGCAAAGAAAGGAAGGAATCTTGTGTGAGGGGAATCTTTGGGTTTAGGGACACCTTTAAACTCCAGGATTCCTCCATTCTGAGGTTTTGGAGAGTTTTTCCTTGTCTCTTGTTTACCTTATCAACAAGCTTCTACGACTTTTCTCCACCCCAGTATTAATATCAACGGTAACAGCTCTTTTTTTGTCTACCTTGCATCCCTGAGCTGCTGATAAATAGGATCTTATTACTTCTCATAACATCTTGTGATGGGAGTGCCCACATTTCCTCTCTCTTTTTTTATAGGTAGAGAAACTGAGGCTGAGGCATAAAGACAACTTTGTCCAAAGCCTTATAGCAAGTCACAAAATAGACTTGCTTTCATTACTCAAGAACCCAGGCTGTTCAGTCCAACAAATATTTACTGAACAAACATTTACTGGGTGAGCCTACGGATCTGTACTGGTCAGGTCCCCAGGGAACACTGAGGCCTGGTAAGGTCCACCCGGGACTATAGCTCAAGTCCTCCTGAGCACAGTTGGTAATTGTGCTCATACCATAGATTGTGTGGCATAGCTCCATGACCTCTTGAAAAAATAAAGATGGTCATGCTATCTCATTTCCAGGGGAGTAGTGATAAATGAGTGTTTATCAACTTGGTGGAAATGGGAAGGAAGTTAACAGTGGTAAGCCAACAAACAACCAGCTTGTTGCATAATGGGCAAAATATGTACAATGAGTTGGGTTCATTTTCCCATAAGGGAAAGAGAGAGAGAAAGAGACTGTTACCTATGCCTGGGGAACCCTCCAGTGTCTTGAATCAATGTGCTTTAACTGGATCAGCCCTAGCAGGAGAGATTTGAATCATGTGTAGGCCACCACCTTACCTGCATTCAACCCAAAGCTAGTCCTTCACAAAGAAGAAGGAAAAAAAAAATCCCACAGTTCTGTTAAGTATTTTGTTCCAAGTGACTAATCTCTTTTGGATGTTCCAGCATGTCTAACCTAGGATCCGTTTAAGTCTTTTGGAGTCTGTCATCTGACTCTCCAGTGGGAAGGGTGAGGAAGAAGGGAGGGAGAGGTAGGACAGCTTAAGTTTTGAATAGTCTCAGATTCCAGTTTCAACACCGAGAGAATCCATCTGCAGCCTCCAAACAGTGTCAGATGGCTTCCTAACTTCTTACCTATGCAGGGGCGAGCTGTGGGTTCCCATTGGGTGTTCTTAGCCATTGTTTTCTAGGGTCCAGTTTCTGCCCCTCCTGCTTTTAAGTTTATTCCAGAGAGACCATCCTTGTATCTCCTGTAGCCTCTCTCCCCAAACTCCATGCAGTTTTTGATTCACTGAAAGGTCCCCAAGTTCTGAAAAGTGTGTCATGTGAGTAGGGGGTGGGGAGGGACTGGGAAAAAATTCAAGAGAGACCAGAAAGAACAGGTTGTTGGTGGCAGCTTGGAAAGACATTGATAAGAAAGTTTAAAATACTGTGGTAAGAAAATAAATAGTCATTGTATGTCTTGCTAAGACATACAATACATAATGTTGTTCGGTTGTGTCTTTTTGTGACCCTATTTGGGGTTTTCTTGGTAAAGATACTGAAGTAATTTGGCATTTTCTTCTCCAGCTCATTTTACAGATGAGGAAACTGAGGCAAACAAGTTTAGGTGACTTGCCCAGAGTCAAACAGTTAAGTAAGTATCTGAGGCTAGATTTGAATTCAGGTCTTCCTGACTCCAAACCCAGTGTTTCATCTGCTATACCACCTAGCTGCCCTAAGACAAAGTAGTCAAAGTAGACAAATGGAAAGGACACTGAACTTGGAATGAGGGGATCTGGGTTTGAATCTGTCACCTGCCACCTTACCTGGGTGACCTTGGGTAATTTCTTTGACAAAAGAGACCATGAGAACTATGGCTTTGAAGGCCCAGCTTTAGAACACTGGTCTTGAGTCAGGAAGACCTGAGGTCCAATGCTACCTCGGACACTTGTCAGCTGGGTGACCCTGGATGATACTTTCTTAGGCCTCATTCTTCTTACCTGTAAAATCACTAAATTACCTTGAGATTTCTTCCATGTAAAGACCCTGTGATGTGGTGACACACAGAAAAAGGTTGCCCTCCCTCCCTCACTTTGTCTTTGCTTAGCTAGGGTTTCCCAGGGTTTCACTATCACATACCCATTTTTGTTTCCTGGAAAATGGCCTGCCTGCTAAACTAAGTCAGCTATTAACTTACACTGGAAGCTCAGCTTCATACTTGAATCCCTCAGCAAAGGCAGGGCCTTCAATATAGTAGGTGAGGGAGGGATAGGCGTGGTGCTCACTGTGGGTGGAGTTAATCAGGGAAAGCTTCTTAAAGGAAGTAGTGATTATGGGTTGACCAAGAAATGTGGATAGAAGTGTTGTGTTGGACTTGGCAATCAGGAAGACCCAAGTTCATATCCTATCTCAGACACATCTTAGCTGAGCAAGTCAGTTATCCTCACAGCCTCAGTTTCCTCATCTGTAAAAATAAGAGGGTTGAACTTAGTTGCCTCTAAGGTCTCTTCCAGCTCTAAGTCTATGATTCCATGAGCTAAGCCACCATTTGTACAGAATGGTTGAAAAAGACAGTCCCCAGTTAGTCAGCAAGTATAAACATTTACTATGTGCCAGGCACAGCATTTAGTGCTGGGGATATAAAGAAAGGTAAAAACATGGTCCCTGCCAGTGAGGCAGACAATAGGCAAACAATTACATACATAAAAGGTCAATGCCCTGTAGTAGGTGGGAGATCATCTCAGAAGGGGAACACTGGAAATGGGGGATTTTGATGGCCTGATGTTTCTGTGACTCATCAATGGATAAGAAGTTTTGAGTCACTCCCTGACTGGTTTATAATCTGGGTGTATAGATGCCAATTTACTGGAAAGTAGAGGCACAGAGAAGTTCCAGGGTCATAAATTAGTGGTGGAGCGGAGATTAGCATCTGCTTCTTCAGGGTGCCTCTGTCCCAGGAGAGGGATTAGGCCTTCCGTTCATGCCATAGCTATGAAATTACTTGTGATGCCCTAGAGTTTTTCAGAGAGCCCAAAAGGGCTTTCACGACTGCCTCATTTTCTACAATATTAACTTATAAGAAATGGGAAAAGTGAGTGGAAATGGAGGGTGTTATACACAAATCCCCAGTTTACAAAAGGGAGCCCAGAAAGGGATCATATAATGAATCTTTAAAGCTTGGGGGTAGTTCTTGAGCCCTTGGGGAATGTCCCTGAGCTATATTGCCTCCCAGTTATAGACCAGTTCTTCCTAGATGATTGTTTTCTAAGGTGGTGTTCCACAGGGGGACGGCAGAGGGTCTTTTTATCCTTAACATTATTTAAGCTGATGGGACAGTTGGGAAAAGTATTGGTTTCTGAGTGGTATTACCCTTCACTGGGTTCCATGGGATTCCCAGATGTTCGCTAAGGATCATCGCAGGACTTTCCGGGCATCTCCTAACCCAAAAACAGGCTGCCGGCAAAAAAGGTTCTGGTGAATCTTTGATTGAGTTATCTACAAGATCATCCAGCACTGGAGGCCTAATCTTCCCTCCCTGTGACCTGGCTGGTAACTTGGACTCCCTCTCTGGGGTCACAGTGGGTGTGGAGATGTTCATTTTCTCAGCTGCCCCACTCCTCTCCACCCTACCTTCTCTTCCCTTTCCTGTTGTGTTGAATGATTCTAGAGATAATCTCTCTAGCTGATCCTCCTGTTTGGATTCATGGGGCTTCAGCCACCCCTCCCTAAGCAGTTCGTCAGGCAGGTCCACTGTGGAGCTCCAAAAAGATGAGAAAGCTCTCTTTTCAGAGCCTCCAAACGGAATAGGGCTGGTAATGTGAATTGTAAGCAGCCTCTCCCAGTGCATTTGAGCCAGGCGTGCTTGCTCCTGCCTGCACGCAGAGCCAGCACCCGCCTTCTCTCACGCGTACAGATACATGGCTCTATGCACACTCTGCTTAGTACTTCCCAGCCCTGAGCACACGAGAGGCCCGTTTGCTTGTTCTCACATTACCACCCACTCCCCTTTTCAGTCCACCCACATACCCTTCTCCCTGCACATAGCCCACCCCCAGATCCCACTTCACGCTGCTGAGACATTGTTCAGTCAGCCTCCCCTGCCATCTCCCCACACACCCTCCGCCCTACTCCCACGTCCTCTCTGAATTTCCAGCAGTCAGGAAATAAACTCCCTGACAGCAAAAATGGAGCTGATTTTCTCTGCCTTTGGCTTCGTAAGCTATCACCCCACCCTGCTGGAGAGTTCTGATGGACAAATGAGCCTATGAGGACTATAGGTCTGAAAGCCAAGTTTTCAGACCAGCCTGACAGGTCTTGGAGTCAGGAAGACTTCAGGCTTGGTGCCACCTCAGACACTTATCAACTGGGTGACCCTGGGCGAAGTCACTTTATCTCTCTCAGCTGCAGTTTTCTCATCTGTAAAATGGGGATTATAATGGCACCTGTCTCCCTGGGTTCTTGTGAGGATGAAATGAGATCATATATATGCAAAGCGCTTGGTAAAACTTAAAGTACTGTATAAATGTTAGCTATTATTGTTATTCCCTTGAGTTGGTAAATTCATCTTCTCTGTTCTGAAGGAAATAAGTGGCACCCCTAGGCCAGTCTAACTTTACCCCTGTTCTTCACCCTTAGGGAGGAAGTGCAAGAGAATTGTGTCCGATGGCGGAAGAGGTTTACCTTTGTGTGTAAAATGAGTGCTAATCCGGCCACCGGCCTTCTGGATGCCTGTATCTGCAGAGTTTCGGTCAGAAAGGTGAGTTTGTTTTTATGGGAGGCAGGAACAGTCCCTGTGAGGGGTCACTTGATGGGTTAAGTTTAAATGAGACACAGTGAAGTCAAAGTTGGTAGGTTCTGGCTGAGATTGTGCCCTTGATTCACTGTGAAGCCTAGCTCAGGCCTTTTTTTTTTTTTTTTAATTTTTATTTTTTTTTTTTATTTCTGAGGGCAATCCAGGTTGGGGTGGTAAGTCCCCAAGTGGGGGCCTGGGGGATAGGTGAGTGAGTGACAGGTTCTTTTAGTTGCTTTAGTAATCCTGCTGACACGTGCTGTTCTCTTTCTGTAGGAACTGAAAGGTGGGAAGGCCTACTCCAAGGTAAGAGTCTTATATAACAATCCCCTTGGGCATGGTTTTCCAGAGACAGAAATACCAGAGGGGAAAGAAAAAGATATCCAGCTTTCCTGTCTATAGGCAGGACTGCCCTAAATATCCCAGATTAACTCTCCTTTTTCCAATTCCCTCTCTTCCCTCCCTGCCTTCTGCTAAGATTAGAAGGTTCTCAGTTTCTGTACTTTCTAACTTGGTGGTGTTCAGTAGTTTTCAGTCCCATCTGACTCCTTTTGACCCCATTTGGGGTTTTCTTGGCAAAGATACTGGAGTGGTTTGCCATTTCCTTTGCCAGCTCATTTTTACAGATGAGGAAACTGAGGCAAACAGGATTAAGTGACTTGCCCAGGGTCACAGAGCTAATAAGTGTCTGAGGCCAGATTTTAATCCAGGAAGATGAGTCTTCCTGCCTTCAGGCCTGAAGCTCTATCCACTGTGCCACCTACCTGCCAGTTGTATTTAATAGCCCATTCTATTAGAGTTCTTTATGTGTAAGAACTTAAATTCTCCCTGTTGTACTCAAAGCCTGCCATCTATTGTCTGTAAAGATGGAGAATCTCTCTCCTGACTAGTGGGGGACATCCTTTTTCCTCACTCCTTGTTACTAGAGAGACTAAACCTAGGTATCACTATCTGGCAGTGCCAGGTAGGATCAGATCTGTTATCTCCATCATTCCTGTCCCAGTTTGAGTCAGGAAAATGGCATTGCTGGTCTGTATTATGCCCTGGGGGAATTGGCTGGGCTGGAGGAAGAAAGGAAAATGCCTCTGGCTTGACCCTGTCATCCATACTCGGTAGTTGGCATGGTGCTGCCAAGAGTACATCCTTCAGCTGGGCAGGCAGCCCATTCTGCTGATTCCCAGCTGGAGGTCAGGAAGAATAGTTGGGGTTGGGACCAACTCTCTGCCCTGTTTCTGATGTCACTGGGAGTGGTGGTCCCTGGAACCTGGCCAGGTGAAGATGCTTTCAAAATGGGTACTTCTCCTGACACCTCTCTGAACTGGATGAGAACAGAAGTTCCTAGCTGGGAAAGAAAGCCCTAGTTAACATGAGAGTTCAGGGCTAAATAAATAGCATCTTTTTCATTTCACCATCCAGTCCCTGTAGCAGGCTTCTTCTTTGGAAAATGGCTCTTTCAGCAAAACATTGGTACCTGGACCTCTAGAGAGAATATTGCTTGATCAGAATAAGGGGGACAGGGAGAATATGGGGATTTCAGTGCCTTAGGTAGAGGGTCTGTACTCACCAGCAGTAATCAAGGTGAGTGTTACCTTTGACATCCTGATAAGCCTCTTCCCCATATGGTGCATTTAACTGGAGTGAATTATTCTCAGGAAATGATGAAAAATCCTTCAAATGCTGTGCCTTATGCATGATAGGGGAATGATATTTTTTGTCTTTAAGGTAATGGTACTGAGCTAACTTACTTAAATTTGATTTGCATCAAGAGAGGCTTTCAGTTTGGAGACCCCACCCACTCTCCCTCTACCTAGCTCAAAATGTGTGTGGGCTCTAAAAAAAGACTCAGTATTCAGTCCAAGGCACTGCTTGACTAAGCTTTATTAAACTCCTCAGAATTCACTCACCATCTCCTGACTAAAATGGGAAACTGGGCATCCACATATAAAAGCCATTCTCCAGCTTCCTCCCTAAGAGAGAATAGATTCAGCTTGAGCCGTACCACCCTGCCTCATCACAGATGGGCACTAATTCAGAATGCCCATCATTAGGTTTCTTGGTGAAGGGAAATTAAACTGTCTTGATTCAGGGATTTTTTTTTTCAGTTTGGATTTTTCCCATGCTTCTACTCTCTTCTGTACCATCACCATCTCTGCCACGCCCCCTTTTTCTTTCATCTCTTGGTCTGGTTTATGTTGAGATGCCCTTGCTCAGTGGCTGCTCCTGGGAGAAGGGGTTCAGCCCCCCTGCCCCCTACTTTTGTTGCTTTAGTCAGAATGTCCTTGAAGAGCAGCGTAGGACTCTGAGTATTAGCACCCTGATCTTAAACTGTCCCCCTGCCACAGCCACTCGTCCTTCACTAATGAACTCTTATCCATAGTCGGTTATGAGGATAATCTATTGGAAACATTTGAACTTCCTTCCTTCCCTGCCTGTTCAGACCAGTTTGCCTCTTTTATTCTCCAATGGATACTTTTTTCTAGCTGACCCTCATTTGTTGGGGGTGGGGGGTGTATGTGTCTGGGAGGTGTTGTGTGCCCAGGTGTGTCCAGCCCAGGGAACAGTCCACCAAAAATCTCCTACAGGGACCTGTAGGCTTAAAGCTGATTCTTTTATTCCTTGCTGCTTCTGCTACTACTGGTGGTTTCCTACAGACCCGAATTCTTGTTTCCAGGGAACTATGTGTCGGTTTCATCGACAACAATAGCCTTTCATCTCTTGGCGTGAGGGCCAGGGTGCATGCTGGGAATACTGAGGACAAAGAGGGCCTTATTATGTGGTATAGATGTGTGATTCTGTTTTTTTCACATCATTGACCTAGTGCCTTCCCTGTCCTTGGTTATGCAACAGTCCCACGGCAGTTTAACACTCTTGTGGCTGGCTCAGAATTTGCATTTCTCCTTCCTCCTCCCAGACTTCCAGGTTAGCCTGGCATCCAGGGCCGAGGTAGCCAGATATCCTTAGGAGTAGACTACTTCCCACTCATAGTAGCTGAGCTATTAACACCGATGTTAGTCTCTGCCCCTTTCTTATCTTTTTCCAGGACACCTGCATCTTCCTTCATGGACTAACCAAAATGTCCCTCTCTCCCCCTTCACCCGTCTCCCCCACTTCCTTCCTTCCAGCTAGGATTTGCGGACCTGAATCTGGCCGAATTTGCTGGCTCTGGTTCCACTGTCCGATGTTGCTTATTAGAAGGGTATGATACCAAGAACACCCGGCAGGACAACTCCATCTTAAAGGTATCTCCAGTGACAGGAAGACCAGGTTCTTCCCTTTCTTCCCTCCCCTTTGCCTTCCCCTCCCTGGCTCCCCCTTACCTCCAGCAGCTGGTATGGCCATAACAAAGTCAGACTAGAGCCACATCACATTGAAGACATCTTAGAGAGCACAGATTTGGAGCTAGAAGGGACATTTGGAGATGAGCTGGTTCGTCTCCCTTATTTCACATGTGAGGACACTGAGATCCACAGAGGTTAAGCTAGACTTCCAAAGAACTGTTCTCTAACCTTTTTACTTCCTTGGGTGGTACCCTAGGAATAAAGTGAATGAGAAATCTGACTTTTCTATTTATCTAGCATAAATTGTGATACACCCCATCCTCGTGAGTGGTGGTTTTGAAGGCTGGCAGTCACCTGGTCTATAGTAACACACTCATCTCTCCCTGACCCAGCCACGTGCTGGCTGAGGTTGTTAGAGGAGGCAGCTTCCTCTGAACTCTGTTGTCTTTGCCTCCCCCAGGAGAGAGGGACATGAAGGGCGGCTTCCTCCTCCAGAGGAGCCCAGTTCCTCTTTGCTATCCACACCCATCCATCTGCCTAAGAAAACAATCTGGTCCCAACAACATCCTCCTTGAACAGATAAAATACAAGCATGTTTGTCTCCAGGGAGAGTCTGGGGGATGTGTAGGAGTAAGGAGCTAGCTGGCAGTCCTAGTTGCCAGTATCAGACAGCTACCAGGCTACCAAGAAAAAATGAAGGCTTCTCAGGATCCTCTGTGCTAGGATGCATATACAATTCAGGCCAAATGCTTGTCAGCATTTGGGTTTAGAAAACCTGATGTGGGGAGGGAGGTTTGGTCTTTGTTTTGGAACTGAGGGAATTAGTATTAAGAGGCAGGAAAGAGTAGATAGTAAAAGAAATCCAAAAATAGAGAACCAAAGTTCCAGTATTCTGTGTACTTAGGAATATAGACAGATTCAGAGCTTGTGCATTTCAGGGCTAGAGAAACTAAACAACCTGACAAAGAGGACTTCCTTAGTGGAATATCTCAAGTTTTTTCTTTTCCAATTAATTTATTTTGAGTTTTCAACAATCACTTCCATAAGCTTTTAAGTTTTAAATTTTTCTCCCCCTTCATTCCCACTACCCTCCTCAAGATGGCATGCAATCTGATATAGGCTTTACATATACATTCCTATTAAATGTATTTTCACATTAGTCATATTGTAAGGAAGAATTAGAATCAAGAGGAGGAACCACAAGAAAGAGAAAACAAAATGAAACAGAAGGAAAAAAAAGAGCAAATAGTATGCTTCGATCTGCATTCAAACTCCATAGTTCTTTCTTTGGATGTGGATAGCATTTTCCATCATGAGACCTCTGGAAATGTCTTAGAGCCTTGCATTGCTGAGAAGGACCAAATCTATCAAAGTTAGTCATTGTACAACGTGGCTGTTACTGGGAACATCTCAGTTTTGAGATGGGGGGGTGGCAGCTCCACAGTTCTAGATCACGGTCTAGAGTAGGGGGTCATAACCTTTTTGTGTAATAGAACCCTTTGAGAGCATAGTGAGGCCTACTGATGATCCCTTCTCAGATTGGTGGTTTGTTTTTGTTTTTGTTTTTTTTGCTTTTTGTTGAGGCAAATGGGGTCAAGTGACTTGCCCAGGGTCACACAGCTACTAAATGTCAAGTATCTCAGGCCAGATTTGAATTCAGGTCCTCCTGACTCCAAAACAGGAGCTCTATCTACTGTGCCACCTCGCTGCCTCAGATCAGTGTTTTTAAATGCACAAACTCTTAACGTAGTTATGATTACAAAGGAAACCAATCATAATGAAGTAGTTATTAAAATATTTTTTAGAAACCAAGTTCACAGACATCTGAACTCCTGGTCTAGAATATGAAATTTCTAGGTCTTTGCCTTAGAGGAGGTTCAGATTATTATTGATTAGTAATAATTATGGTTAATAAACCTGTAAGGCCTAGACATTCAGGAGGAAAGCATTATGTAAACACCAGGATTATAGATGTATGTGAATTAATATTTGAAGTGTCAGCTCCTTTTTATAGATGGGGAAACTTGGTCTCAAGTAAATAATAACACGAGCTAGCATTTACATATAGTGCCTTTAGGGTTTGCAGAGCACAGTGCATGTTGCCACATTTGATCCTTCCAGCCAACCCCTCCATGGGGTAGCTGCTATTATCATCCTCATTTTACAGATGAACAAACCGAGGCTGAGAGATGAAGTGACTTTCCCATGCTCACACAACCAGTAATCGACTGAGGTGGTATTTGAATACCCACTGTACCACCTCACTGCCTCAGTGAAATAAATTTATCTGTAGTCACTCAACTAGTAACTGTCTGAATAAGGATTCACTTCTAGGTCTTGAGATTCAGTCTAGCATGATTTCCATCATATGATTTCTCTCTCTGATTCTCATGTCGTCTTATTTTTCCCTAACAGGTCACCATTGGGATGTCCTTGCTCTCCGGAGACCCCTGCTTTAAGACGTGAGTTTTTAACCCTTTCTTGATGTCATGTCTTACATTCTTGGGGATAAAGTGTTGAAGGAAGGGACGGAAGAGTCCATCTGCGGTCAAGGTGTTGACTTTTGAGGATGGTCAGACTGGGAAAAGGAGAAAGGGGAAAAGTCTTGGAGACTTAGATTAGAGGGGAAGAGCCTGGACTCTCTGATTTTTCTGTTTATATTTCTAGTGTTTAGCACAGTGCTTGGCCCATGGTGAATCTTCTCTCAGTTTTTTTTTTTTTTTGGTCTGTTTGTTGGTTTTTTTTAGGCAATTGGGGTTAAGTGACTTTCCCAGGGTCACACAGCTAGTAAGTGTCAAGTGTTTGGTCTGAGGCCGAATTTGAACTCAGGTCCTCCTGACTTCAGGGCCCATGCTCTATCTACTGCGCCACCTAGCTGCCCCCTACCTTCTCAGTTTTGATTAGCCTCTATGGCTTATGAAAATCCAGGGTTCTGCAGAGAAACTGGAAATTGGGTATTTCTTTCCACCTAGGCTTTGACTATTTCCTAGTTGAAATGCTTCATGGAGCCATGGGCTAGCAGGATGGCAGGAGGCATTGATGCTCACCACCTCTTGTCTTACAGGCCACCTTCCACAGCCAAGTCCATCATCATCCCCAGCCAGGACACCTCCCTCCAGCTGACCTGTAAGGGCGAGGGTACCTCCAGCAGCAGCAGCACGGCCAGTGGCTCCACGACCCTCACGGGGCCCCGGCAGACCAAGGCGAGACCCACCATCCTCGGATCAGGTAGCAAACCCACCCTCTCCTCTTCCTGAGCCTTTGCTTTGTGACCTCTGGCAAATGATTGACCAACTCTGGGTACTGGCTTTCCTAAGTGTCAGATGAGATATTTGTCATGTGGTTCCTAGGGGAGGAGAAGGAGAACCCCTGTTCTCTAGAGGAAAGCATGTGACTTCTATTTATTGGGTTGGGTTATCAGGAGAAAAATTTAATCGATTCCTATTGTTTGCACCTAACACTGTGTTAATTTAGTTTCACAAATATTAAGTGGCTTCTCTGCCCAGATCATTGTGTTAGAGTAAGATACGAATAGGTAAACACTCGGGTACCAAGATAGTGTACAATTGAACTGAAATTTCTCTGCATCTTCAGTGGCTTTTTGTCTGCTTAAAGTTCAGACATCATCTTTGCCTGGCATTCAAGGCTTTCAGCAGTCTGGTACCACCTGCTTCTCTAACTTTGTACTATATATATTCTAGCCAAACTGATTTACTCTTTGACCCCTGAACAGACTCTATTTGCTCCTCTGTGTCTTCGTTCATACTATTTTCTGTTTCTGTAATGCCTTCCTCTGTCACCTGTTGAGTTCCATTCTCATTTTTACTTTAAAAAATTTTTTTTATTATCTTTTATTTTTATGTCACTTTCATTCTGAATATATACCTTTGCCATCCCTTACCCAGATGCATCTGTTATAACAGAAACCAAAACAAAAAACAAGAAAAGGAAGAAAAGAAGTAACTCAGCAAAACCGACATGTCACCCGAGTCTGACAGTGTCTCCACTGTTTCACACCCCGTAGTCCCTCACCTCTGCAAAAAAGTCTACCCAACCTTTTAAACCTGACTTAAAAATCCATGAATCACCTAGGAGGATAATCATCTTCCCCAGTTTCCACTCCACACAGCACTTGGTTTTGCAAACAGAGGTTGAGGTTAGAGTTGGGAGAACTGATTCAGGTCTACCTCATCAGACTTAGGGTATAATATTGTACATTATAATTGGAAGTGTCTCTGTTAGCCCGAGGTCTATCAGGGCAGGGAACCAAGTCTTTCCTGAGTTTTGTATCTGCCCCAGCAATTCATAAATATAGGGAATGAATAAATAAAGCACATTGCTTGTTAGAAAATCAAGACACAAGCATATGTGAGACAAAGATATATGATAGAATGTTGATAATGTAGCAGTAACTAGAGAAGAAGACCGTGAAAGTATAGGAACTAGCCAGCAACATGGGAGAGTTGTCATGCTTGACCGTGCTGGCCCCTATTAACCTCTTGGGCTCCAAAGCTTCATAGTTCTTGAAGAGCTAGCCCATTTCCACAGTTTAAGAGTATGGGAAGTGGATGCTTACCTCCCCCACGGTCCTTTGACAAAGCTTTGCAAATGCCCCCTTTAAAAAATGGGGGGAGTTGAGGTCGGATCCTTCTGATTCCCATCCACTCAGTACCTCAAGCTCTAGGAACTGAAACTACGACTTACCCAGAACTCCCTCAATGGACGCATTGGGTTATTCCTGCACTCACCATTGGTCAGGCCCAGTTCAGCTTTGGAAGCAAGTTCATAAGGAACCAGCCTGTTCTAGTATCCAGGCCACTCCAACCTTGCTCTGAGGTTTTAGGAGTTGAAGTTCCCAGAGGGAACCATTTCAAACAAACTAGGTGTGCCCCCTCTAGCTAATCAGTCTTGAGCCAGTTGAACCCAGTTACTAATTGAGCCCTGGGCTGGGAGACGCCTCAGGCAAACTGACTTCTGGCTCTTGGGAAGGGGATGAAGAGGTAGGGTGGGGGAGAGGGAGAGAGGAAACAGTCATGGGCAGCTCCCATCTATCGTCTTAAATGTGAGGGGCAGTAGAGGGTAGTGGATAGAGCATTGGCCCAGGCAGGAAGACCCAGGTTTAAATGCTGCCTCAGAAGTATGAACCTAGCCAGGTACTTAGTGTCTTAACCTCAGTTTCCTTAGCTGTAAAATGAGGGAATAATAGCATCTTCCTTTCAGGGTGGTTGTGAAGATCAAATAAGAAAATGTGTGAAGTGCTTTGCAATCCTCAAAGTGCTACATGAATGTTAGTGTTATATGTAAAAACGCTATATAGGTATGAGCTGCTCTTATTGTTTTTTATTATTACAAAGTATGCTCTGGGTAGAGAGGCTGTTCTTTCAAACGTCTGCCTATTCCCTCCTTTCCAGACTTGATTCTCTTCCTTGGTTTAGCCATATTTTTGCTCTGTTCTTTCTCCCCTAAAATAAACTCTTGACCTTTTTCCCATAGAAAATTCCTTCTAATATCCTCTCATTGCCTCCTCCCTAGATCTCCCTCTGGGACTGCGTTTTCTAACCTCCAGAGGTAGAGAAGATAAAGAGAGCAGATCCTTGGGGCACCAGACACCCTGGGGAGTGCTGGTCTTGGCTCTGCTTCTAACTTGGCCCCCCCCAAGGAAACAAATTGGGGGCCCTTCCCCCCCCCTGTTTGGGGGGGGGGGGGGGGGGGGGGGGGGGAGGGGTGGAGAGTCTTGACTTTAGCATAGTTCAAATTTCAGATAAGGGTTTTTTGTTCTGTCAGGAAAAGGCCTTTTCAGCTCTCTGAGTCCTTGTTACGTTGGTCAGGACTCCCTATTGCCCAGAGAGCTTAGAAGCCTGGGGTTCCTGGTCCCTCTGACTGCACTCCTAGCAGTGAATATGGACCCTTGAACATGTGCTGGCCATGAGCAGGGGTGCTGGGACCCTTCTGACAGAGAGGGACATGGAGAGATAGAGAGGGATAGAGACAGAAAAGGACAGAAAGACAGAGATAGAGAGGGATAAAAAGGGACAGAGGATAGAGAAACGGAGGGACAGAAAGGGACAGAGAGAGGGAGAGAAACAGAGGGACAGAAAGGGATGGACAGAGAGAGACAGAAGGACAGGGAGAGAAAGACACACAGACACACACACACACACACACACACACACACACACACACACACACACAGACACACACACATAGAGTCAATAATGAACTTTACTGCTTTCTTCCCAGGGGTCCCTGAAGAGCCAGATCAGAACTTGTCAAGCCCAGAGGAAGTGTTCCACTCCGGCCATTCCCGTAACTCCAGCTATGCCAGCCAGCAGTCCAAGATCTCTGGTAAATGATAATAGTAATAACCACTCAGAACCCAAGCCAGAAAAGTGCTTTTTTACATGCCTTAGCTCCGTGGGGCTGCACACAGCCTTACTGCTGTAGGGCCTGGTCTCAGAGGTTAAAGTCCACACAGCCAGTACGTGTCTGAGGTGGAACTCGAACCCTGGTGTTTCTGACTGTGGGGCCAGCTCTTTGCTCACTGTTCCACGCTGCTCTTCTTTTTCTATTTCATAGAGACTTGGGAATCGGATTCAAAGCTTTGACCAAGCCCTTCTACCCACTTCCTTAAGTTAGGGGGAGACCTGATGGTTTCCTGTCCTTCCTGCCCCCGGCCAAGTTGTCACCTGCCTAGGGTGGCCGTAGGGAGGGGTGGTCACCGCTGCTTCTTTGCCTCTCCCCGAACACCCATTCCTGTCTTTCTCCCAGGTTACAGCACTGAACACTCCCGCTCCTCCAGCTTGTCAGACTTGACTCACCGAAGAAACACCTCCACCAGCAGCAGTGCCTCTGGCGGCCTCAGCATGACCGTAGAGTGCCCTGAGGGCGAGAGGGAGCACAAACCAGAAAAGCCTCCTCGGCCCCCCAGACCTCTGCATTTGTCAGATCGATCATTCAGGTAGGGTGGGGCATGGGGGAGGAGATGGGGAAGGAGATAATTGATTATTGAGGTGAAGGTACCCTTGAGTCTCTTCCTAGAGTTCATTCCTGGTTCTGGATGGTGAACCAAGTTCTGAGGCTGTCCCAGAATGGTAGTCCACATGTCCAGAGCATTACAGCTCAACTCTATGAGGTAGATGCTAAGTGGTAGGAGGGTTATTGTCCCCATTTTACAAGGGAAGAAACTGAGGCTGAGAGAGATGAGGTGAATTCCCTAGAGTCACACAGCTAATAAGAGTCAGAGCTGAGATGCGTGGAATCATAGTATTTAGTGCTGGAAGAGGCCCTAGAGATTATTTGGTCCAACACCATCATGTAATAGATGAGGACACTTGGGGCGAGAAAGGGGTAAATGACTTGTTCAAGGTCTCCTGATGCCCAAGGTGGGATATAATGGGAGGAATGTTGGACTTGGGTTCAGAAGACCTCCGTCTGAAGCCTACACATGCCACTAGGATATCAGACAAGTCCTTTCCCCTCCCTGGACCTCAGCCTCTCCTTGCCCCAACTTTGCATCGCTACAATTCCATAATCCCCAGTCTAGTATTCTTGCCACTCCAAGCCATGCCTCTCTTAAAAAAGGTGAGCATCAGCAGTGTTTCCCATTCAGGTCTGAGTTTTCTCAGCTGGCTTTACTAGGATTTGGTGTTTTATTCCATCATCTCTCCCCTCTCCCCCAAGGAGGAAGAAGGATTCAGTGGAAAGCCACCCGACATGGGTAGACGACACGAGAATCGACGCGGATGACATAGTGGAGAAGATCATGCAGAGTCAAGACTTTACAGATGTCAGCAACAATGAGGGTGAGTTCCCCGTGAGGACAGCTTGCCCCCTGCCTGACTTTGGCCTATCCCTCCAGTGCTGACATTGGGTGGGGCATGAGGCACGAGTAACAGCATCTCCCAGCTGCCCACAGAGCCCTAGGGCTACTGCCCAAGTACCTTCTCCTCTTGGGTGGGGTGGGGTGGGGTGGGATGGGATGGGTAGGCAGGTTCCCTCTGGAGGTCCTCCTGCTGATGGGTTCCCTAACCCTGGTCTGCCCTTTCTCTCCACAGACAGTAACCTGAGGTTGTTTGTGAGCAGGGACGGCACCACCACCTTGAGTGGTATTCAGCTGGCAACCAGGTACAGTGGCTCCTTACTTAACCAGGTTTTGTGCTGGGCAGTAATCAGGCAGGCCAGTAGTAGTTTTCCTTCACTGGAGAGGAGAGTGAGGCAGATAGAGTAAAGGGAATTGCTAGTGAATTTGGTTAATTTAATTGCAAAGCTAGAGACCCACTGGGCAAAACAGCCGCAGTGAGCTTTCATGGTGCTCTGGATTGGGCTGGCCCTACAGCAAAGGCCTTCCAGAGGCGTCGGGAGGGTGTTGGTGGGGCTCCACTGGGTTCTATTTCCCCAAAGGTCAGATTGAGAGAAGGACCAGGCATAGCAGTGGAAGGGATGGAGGTTAGACTACAAGAAGGGCTCTTAGGTGGCAAGGTGTGAGCGGAGTCACCAGAATAGACCCTAAAATTTCCTTTTGGGGCAGCTAGGTGGCACAGTGGATAGAGCACGGACTCTGAAGTCAGGAGAACCTGAGTTCAAATTTGGCTTCAGACCAAATACTTGATACTAGCTGTGTGATCCTGGGCAAGTCACTTAATCCCTATTGCCTTAAAAAAAAAATCTCCTTTCCTGGTGATATAAGAAATTCTGGCAGAATGGATCATGTTTAGGGACATGGAAATAGAGGTAAAATGAAACAATAACAGGTTATTTGGCATTCATTCTCCAAATGAACAAAACTATTTGCCATATAATATAGTGTTGGAGTAAAACAAAACAAAACAAAAACTAGATTTAGGGTCAAGAAGACCTGGTTTCAGGGCAGCTAGGTGGCGCAGTGGATAGAGCACTGGCCCTGGAGTCAGGAGGACCTGAGTTCAAATCCGGCCTCAGACCAAACACTTGACACTTACTGTGTGATCCTAGGCAAGTCATTTAACTCCAATTGCCTTAAAAAAAAAAAAAAGTTAAAAAAAAAGAAGACTGGTTTCAATCTTGACTCTTATCACTGTCAATCTGATCTTAGATGAGTCATTTCTCCCCCTGGGTCTCAGTTTCCCCACTTGTAAAATGAGAGAGTTGGGCTGAATTGTCCCTCAGGGTTCCAGGCAGCTCTAAATCTTGGATTCCTGTGGCCAGGGCCAGCCAGGCCTCTGGACATAGGCCAGGTGAGGCTGCAGGGAGCGTTGTGATATGCTTGGGAAGGACATGGTTGTCCTCTGTTGGTCAGAGCTGGAACTGCAGCCCTAGGCTCTTAGAAACAGGAGTGGAGAGCCAAGCTTCAGCCCAATACACATTTCTGTAGTACTTTTAAGGCTTACGAATGGCTTTCTTCATAAAAACCCTGAGGTCAAGGAGTACAAGTATTATGGCTCCATTTTATGGATGTCAATGCAAACCTGCCAGGGTAGAGACTTAACCTGAATCAGTGTCATAGCTGGGACATAAACCAGATCCTCCTGGCTTCAAATCCAGGGATCTTTCCACTTCACTGTATCTACCTCTTAGGTTTTAGGGCTGGAAGGAACTTTAGAGGTCATAGCCCAACCCCCCTAATTTTTACAGATGGGGAAATCAAGGCACAGAGAAATGAAGGGACTTGTCTAAGGTCACACAATAAATTGGTGGCATGGCCAGGTTAGAATTCAAGTTGGCCAACATTGATGAAGCCTCTGGATTGTGTAAGGCCCTGTTGCTGGGTCCTGGGGATACAAAGATGGTCCCTTGCCTCAATTATCATGCCTTCTTTATGACTACCTGCTCCTCTCCCCATCAGCTTTTCTGGGATATCACTGGACAGCCTGTGGGTCTGACGAGCTTCTAAACAGTTTTTCTCCACTTCCTCCTACAGAGTATCCTCTGGAGTTTTTGAGCCCGTAGTGATTGAAAGCCATTGATCACCATGATCTTCTGACCTGAGTCATTCCAGAAGGGAGGGTCCCTTCTTTTTCCAGGGACCACCTCTCCATCGTCTCTACTTCTGTCAATTCTCATCTGATTTTTGCACTCCAGACCAGTCCTGAGGGCGGGCTGCCCAAGCTGGCATTGGGACCTCCCCTCATCATCTTGTCTCTCCTCCATCCACCACTTTTGAACCCTCTCCCTGGAGCTGACCCATCTCATCACCTGGTGTCCTTGAGAGTATTTCCCAGGACCCTGGCTGCGGTCTGATTGTACCACTGTGAATATTCTCACCCCATAAGCAGATGCTTCCTCATCATAGGAAACTATTGGCCCGAGTGCCAGTTCTGACGGCAAAGGGGAGAGGTAGAGTCCGGTTAGGGAGCTAACTCCTACTGCAGGACTGTAGGCCCCCTGCTGGGCAGGGTTGTGACCTCTTGGAGCACTAATGTGGGCAGGCACGCTTCCCTCCAAGCAGGAGAAAAGGACTCGTGTTTGGTCCAGCCTACCTCCTTGTCCTGTCCTGCAGCGCTGGTGCTTCTGACTTCTCTGGAGTCAGTGTATGGAGGCCAGGTCTTCTTGCCACATCACATCTTCCTCCCCACCTGGAAGTCGTATGGACTGGCTACCCTGGTTCCAGCTGAACCTTGGAGGCATCTCTGAGTCCTCCTGCTAACAACACTCCAGGGGAGAAGAGACAGGTTGCTTGGAGAAACTGGAGAGGCCTCCTAGAGCTCGCTGCGAGACTTTCCTGCTGATCTCTGGTTCTGAGCTAAAGACTGTGGCTTTCCCCTGCAGCTCCCTCCCTTCTGCTCATACCTGTACTCATCTTTTTAGAGATTTTGAGCCCTGAATTCCTGTGTCTAGGAGGTCGGAACCTTTCAGGTGGACTTGCCAGGTGGCCTTTGGTAGACCTGCCTTCCCCATCCCAAGCTTGTCCTGGCCTGTACCACATACTTTCAACTTATAAGCTATCCCTTTCTTCTCCCTCTTCCCTTTTGAATTTGCCTGCCTCTGTTTTTCACAGTGGCTCTCTGCACTTTGCACATATTTCCCTAGCAGAGCCTCAGGGGGTTGGTGGTTGGCCATCCCTCTCCCCACCCCAACAATGCGCACACATCCTTCTGCCAGCCCCCTCCTCCTCTATTACCTTGAGCCTCCCCTTTTTGAAACCTATGCTTGCCTGCTGGCCAGGTTGGCTAAGCCTCACTGGCTATCAGCACTCCCCCCTCCCAATCCCCTCATCTGTCCAGAGTGGGGGAGACCACCTAAGGCGGGAAAGCAGACTGCCCAGGTGGTAACTGCTGCCCCTGAACTTCCCTTATTAGGGTAGGGAGCCACCTACTTTGACTTTGTATCAGCCCTCCTGGGTAGGACTGACAGGTTCACGTCCCCAGTTGGGTGAAGTTCAGGGGCTCTTTCCCTCTCTACCTTCTAAGTCCTGGTGTACTCTCTGCTTGGGGCTGGGTCTTAGGCAGTTGATGCAACAGAGAAATTAAGAAAAAATAGCAAGTTGGACATAGAGGAAGGGAGAAGCGTCCACAAGCTCCTGGAGGCTGGAGGTGTTGGAACAGGAGAAAAAAGCCTGTCTCCTTTTCAGCAAGGCCAGCCTGGTGGGCCATAGAGCCTTCATGGTAACTGGAGGTAACCCCACCTACTCAGTTGGTGAGGTGAGCAGGAAGGGGATGCCTTCCCCCAGCCTTCACAGGAATGGGCAGGATGAGAGGTGCTTGCTCAGTTACGGCCTGGAGCTGTGCTCCCAGCAGGACAGAGTCCCTCCATCAGTCCATGTCTTTAGTGTCTGGGTGTCACCTCCTGCCACTGCCAAAGCTTCTGTTCTTAGCACTTTCCCCATGGCAAAGGCCCGGGCCAGAAGATACAGAGCCTGTGACCTCCTTGCTCAAACCACTGGTTTAACTTTTTTTTTTAATTTCAGTTGCCAAGTTGTAATTTTTAATAAACCCAGCGGGCTGGTATTTGTTTTTGGGAGGGGAGGGAGGGTTGCTTTTTTTTTTTTTAAAGTTGATAATGGTTTTTTTGTTTTTGTTTTGCTATTTTATTCCCAGAAAGAGAGAGATCATTTCCCTGGTTTCCCTTCTTGTCTTCTTTGACCCCATCGCTCTGATCAGCCCCCCAGAGGATCTGTCTGGTCAGGACCTGGGCACGTAGAGAGCTGGCCCTCTCTCTTGGGTGGGGAGTGTGGGGAGAACGGTTTTTCTGAGCAGTGGGAATGGAGCTGGGCTCTAGTCTCCACCCTGCCTTCTCCTGGTCCCAGGAGGACTCAGTTGCCCTTATTTGTCCTACATCCTTGTTTCTGGAACCCTGCTGGGGTGAGCATGGGGGGGAGGGGGGCATTGGGTCCACATTGATCCCTTTCATTTTTCATTTTTGTTTTTTTACTAACCTTTTAGAAAACACTTATCAGACCTTGCCTGCTAAGTCAGGACTGAACGTTTGTTGAGTAGAATTGTCCTAAAAAAGCACCAGATTCAGCCCTGAAGGAGCTTTCTCTCCCCCCTCTTGTGAATGACTAGCACTTTAACTGGGAGCCAACACTGTGGGGGGTCCCTAAGAGGGTGGGGGTGCCCTGCCTCCTCTCACATTCCTTTCTTCTTTCAACAGTTTGTTCTAAGATCTTAACAGAAAAAAAAAACCAAACTTGATCAAGGGGGAAGAGGGATTTGTGGTATTTTAATGTTTTGTTTTGTTTTTTTTGAGTGTGCAGCTGGCCTCCACACTTACTGGGAAAGCCCAGGGGGTCCAGTGAGATGGGGGCACACCAATCCCTTTGGGAGAGCTCCGTTAAACCTGTCATCTACATCAGCCTCTCCCACCTCTACCTCTCTCAGCTGGCAGCCTCAGGGCTGGTCCCTAGTCATCTAGCATGGGTTACTGCTTTTTGCCTAAAGGCCACAGAATGAATGGAGTCAGGGATAGGAAAGGTTCCTTAGGCTTACAGGAGTCTAGGACTGGACCTCCAGTTGATGACCCTTCTGGGAGAAGTAAGTGCCTGGGCAGCCTTAGAAGAGAAAACAAAAATACAAAGTTTCAGACCGGAGGAGAACCTGAGGGAATTAGGTAGTTAGGGGGCAGGAAGTTAGATGAAAACTTGCACTGGTCCTTTTCAAATTTTTAGTGAAATAATCTCATTCCTTCCCAAGCCCCAGCCCTGCCCCTCCCATCTCTCCTCTTAAGGGTAGTGTCCTTTCTGATAACTGGACCTTGGTGGTTCCAACTAGTGCTGTCAAAGCTTTAGATTCAAATTCTATATATAGAGAGATTATATTAGAGATATTTTTGGAAAGGGGATAGGTCTATGCAAAACAGTTTGGAAATCTGCGAGAGAGTTTTATCTTTTTTTTACTCAGAGATGTAAAAAAGAATTAATAAAGTTCTAGGTCCTCAGCCCACCCCACTCCCTTTCAATCATGAGTCCATCCCATGAGTAACTACCATGGGGCAGTTGTCAGCTGGGTTTGGGTGATTCTTGGCTTCTTGGGATGGAGTGATCTCCATCTTTGTTAAATGGGGTGGAGGAGGGAGGGAGAGAGGGAGCTAAATTCTTTTTCCTGTTTTTTTTCCCCCTCTCTTTATGGAATATCATCGCCATCTTTGATTCAACTGACGTATTTGTATTTCTGTGTCTTGTTCCTATCATAGAAAACTATAATGTAAGGGGAAATTCAGTCTTTTGTCAAATTGGCATTATGATTTGGGGCCAATTAAAAGTTATGGATTTTTTTTTGTTTTGTGTGTTATTGGGCATGCTGCATTTTTAGAGGCGGGTATTAAAGAATATTAGGAAATGTTGGCCTTTGGCTGATCGGGGTTTCTTTCTAGTAGGAAGAGGGAGCCATGGGAGAGGCTCGGGGGAATTGGCTGATCTGGGATTCAGCCATTCTAGAATGGCAGATGGAAGATTGAACTCCTCCAGACCCTATTCAGCCATGCCCCTCACCATCCAAGCATCATCTCTAGACTTGGGACAGAGCTAGTCCTGTTGTCCAAGTGTGTTGTAAAGGTGGATTCATGTCCAGGTGCAGTTTGGATGAGCTCTTCAGTGAGGTCCTGTTCTGTGATGAACCTTCCTCGCAGCTCTGTCCACTCTTCCTTCTCTTTTTTGGTCTCCAGTCTTCAGGAATCTGGCTTCTGCATGATCTGATTTTCTTATCTTGTGGACCAGGAATGTGGGTGCTGAGCAATAGGTTTAGGCTGACATGGCTTGGGATTAGCTTTTTCTTCTTTCCCATGTGCTATCAGTTTTCAAGATAGTCACCTAAGACTGGTCAAAGATCAGAAGGAACCTCCATAGAACATCAGGTCCTTCTTTCCCCCTGCCTTACACAGGAGCTTATCTCAGAGATGTTTAAGAATCTTCTGATGTCAATAAATATCAGTAATTTAAGATTAATCACCCTTCCTCCTCAACTGTCCTGCTTTTAGAGCACCAGGCCAAGACTCAGAAACACCCGAGTTCAAATATAGCCTTAGACACTTACTAACTGTGAGACCCCGGGCAAGTCACTTAATTCTGTTTGCCTCAGTTCCTCATCTATAAAATAAACTGGAGAAGGAAATTACCAACCATTCCAGTGTCTTTGCCAAGAAGATCCAAAATGGGGTCATGAAGAGTCGGACGTGACTGAAACAATTGAACAACACCTCTCTCTACTCCTTTCCTCAGCTCTGTTCACCTTGGTTTGTATCTCATCTGCCCTTCTAGCAGGATTACTTTGCTTTTTATTCCCCTCCCTCTCTTAGTCCCCTTCCTGGTTCCACTTTCCTGCTCCCATGATGCTTACTTGCTCCTCTCCCTCTGTTGCTAGGTGGCTCAATGCCAGAGCCCTTAAGAATGTTTCTTATCTCAATGGAAGGATGAGAATATCTCCTTTCTAGGTCCTCCTGTCTTCCTGACCTGTCAATGTGGCACAGAAGGTGACTTAAGGGTCAGAGAAGGAAGACACTGTCCAAGGTGACCTTAGAGCCAGGTTCTCCTGCCTTTTGGCCCGATGTCTTATGACAGTGCTGTGGTACGTAGGGTGGCTGGGTGGTACGCTGGGTTGGATGGGACTGGACAGCAGCCAAGACTGAGGGAGGCATAACTGGTGACTTCAGAATTCCGAGGCAAAGCTAAGACCACCAAGGGAAGTTTAATAAGGAGATTACAAACTCTCCTTCTAGATTGAAGAGATATAGGTCTCTTGTCAGGGCTAGAAATCTTTCCAGATACTACTTAAATCCTGCTCCTCAGTATGTACTGGTTAGGATTGTGCCACAGTAAGGTCAGCTGGCCCTAATTCGCATCCCCTCCCAAATTCTCTATCTGTGACTGATGACCCTTGAGGCCCCTCCCTCTTCAAACTCAATATCCCCAGGAGGAAGGGCATAGAAAGAAATCTCTGTTGAGGTCAGGCACATCTCGTTCCCATTCTGCTCCTTCAATCACAGCCTACACATCTGGCTCTTTACATCGCAGTGGAGACCCCAGGCCAGGAGGGTCTCAGCTGAATTCTAAGTTCCAGGACAGAGGCCCATAAGGGGGATGTTTTCTTTGTCTTCCTCTGATTTCCCAAGGCAAGAGGAACAGGGGCTGCACCCAAACTGGTCTTGAGGGATGAGCCAGCTTCCTCTGTCGGTGTTGATGGCAGGCAGCCCACAAACACCTGTAGTCACATAGGAAAGGGTGGTGATTTCCTCAGCCTTCCCAGCTATCCTCCCTCCCTCTGTTTCCCAAGAAGTTCCCCAGCCTGAAGAGTGCTGAGCATTTACCCCAGAGGAGATAGATGCCAAGGGTCACAAAGAATGAGATGGCGATGAGGGAGCTGGGTTCTGGGCTCCAGAGTCGGCAGTGGTCTGGACAGGCACAGGGAGTCTGGATGAAGACCTCCAGGTGGGTGGACAGGAGGGACATGTGGGCCACAGTCCTCACTGGGCTGCAGTTAAAGTGGACCAGGGTGTTCAGGGAGCTGCTAGGCCAGGCTAGAAAAGATAAAGGGGTCAAGCTGGGGTCTGGGGAGCTCTCGAGATTCCAAGTACCTCATTTTCTAACCCCTCAACTTCTTGCCCATGGACTTCTCCCAGCAATCATCCACTTGACAGATTTCAACCCTTTACCTAACAATAATAGCTAAGCATTTATATAACATTCTGTTTGCAAAGCACTCTTATGCTTACAACAACCCTATGAGGTAGGTATAATGTTATCTCTATTTTCATATGGGGAAATTGAGGCAGACAAATTAAGTGACCTGCCTAGGGTTACACAGCTAGTGTCTGAGGCTGGGTTTGATCTGGTCTTCCTGACTCCAGGTCCAGTGCTCTACCCACTTTTCCATCTAGCTGGCTCCTGATTTCCCACGGTCTCATTTTCTTTACCTCTTTTAGCACAAAAGATCCTCAAGTCCGGACAATCTCTGCTAACCACTGTTAAGCTCAAAAATACAACCCTGGGCTTCCACCAGTCCCTGAAATAGGCATCTCCCACCCCAATTCCCACTCCCAAATTAGGTCTTTAAAAAAGATCCTTGAGTATGTATAGTAAGCATTCCCATTTGCCCAGTCACACAAAATGGAAGAGCCAACCCTACAATCATAGTAGCTCACATTTAAACGTAGAGTTAGGGTTAGGGTTAAAAACTTCACACAAATCCTGTGAGGTAAGGAATGCCAACACCTTTCCCATTTTGCAGAGGGGGAGGGGGAAAAGCTAAGGCTCAAATGGTTAAGTGATTGATGGGTCCCTTAGGTCCTAGCACAGGACTGATCCATCCCCTTCTCACCAGGGTACGTGACAGTCAAGACACGGGTGCTGCTGTTGTACCAAAATTCACTCCTCTGGTGCCTGCCATAGGCAGTATGGTGCAGATCCCCTGAGCCTGCCTGCCTGGAGGAGGAAGTCAAAGACAGTGCCTTAGCAAATGAGACTCAGCTCGAGGCTCCTTTTTATCATAGGTGAGCAAACTGAGGCATAGGAAAGCAGTCATACAGCTGGGTCATGGTGAAAGTGGCTGGCAAGCCCCTGGCTTTCTGGAAACCTTTCCATGCCCCCTTATCAATATGAAAAGACTAAAGTCTTCAGTTTGCCATGCATGTAAACAAGAAATAAAGGGATCTATTTTTCATAAAAAAAAGAATGAAATATACTTCTTTACGTATTCTTGGAGAAAGAGTATTACCTCATTGAAAATCAAATCAGTCTGTTCCCTGTACCCCCTTGTTAAGCTTCTCATACCCCAGCTTGGGAACTCTTGCTCTAGAAAGCAATAGGTAAGTCATTTCTCTAGGGGTAGTCCCATCTCATTGAGGAGGTGGGAGCCTGGACAGTTTGAGGCAGAATTTGAACTCGGGTCTTCCTGACTCCAAGTACAACATTCTTCCCCCCCCCCCCCACACACACCTTCTTACCACACACTATCTACCTTCATTTTATGAGATGAGAAAGCTAAGGCCACAAGGTCCAATGAAGTTCACATAGGACAAACCTCGATGGAAGAGAGATTCGAACCTAGGCCTTTTAAATTCAGAAGCCAATCCTCTTTTCATTCTGCCACAATGCATGTGATTTCATGATTTCTACTCAGAATGGGGAGGCAGCAGGCAAGGGTCTCCTTACCTCAGGGTCACACATGCAGCCACCTGTACACAGTCGGTGGAGATGAGGTTAGCGGGCTCGCTGAAAGGCTGGCAAGGGCTGAATTGCACATATCCACCAGGCTCCTTGTCGGGAGCTAAGGGGATGGTCAGGGGTCCCACGGCGGCCAGATTGATCACCTGATGACTCCCCCGCAGGAGGCAGGTGCAAGGGTGGACCTGGACACAGCCCATGTCCTGGGACAGGGCCCCCCATCCCCAGAGCAGGAAGCTCAGCAGAAGCTGCAGGGGCCCCCAATGCTTCATCCTCAACAGGGATCTACAGAAACTGGCTTGAGTCCTGCCACCAGGGTGAGAGAAATAGCAGATGAGGGTGAGCCAATCCCTAGGGAGGAGACAGGGCTGGGGAGGGCTGCTCAGAGGGTGCGGTTGGAATGCCCTGGCCTTTTCCTGGCTTTCCAAATTCTACCTGTTCTTCAAGATCCTCCTTTGCACCCTGGACCACCTCCGCCCTCAGTCGTCTCTCCCCATTCCCAGATCCTCCAGAGGGTACGGGGGCTTTTCCCTGAGCACCAGTTAAACACTGCCCGGCTTGAGGAGTTTTCTTCATCTGCTCTGGATTCACGGGTCGGTTCTTGTGTCTTCCCTGCTCAAAAGGTGTCAGTGGCACCCTGGTCTCCCTAGCCTGGTGCGTGCTAGAGCTAACTTGAACAGGATCCTAATGGCTAAAATTTCAGTTTGAGCTTTTTTCCCCTTGGAAATCAGCAAATACTACAATCAGAGTATGGGTTATTGTCTCGTTCATTGCCTAGTCACATGAAAGTGCTGGAGAACGTGCTAAGCTAGAAAGTGTGTTCATTGTACAATTATTTTTTGTTCAACAAGAGTTGAGTCGTTTCAGTCTTGTCCCCGTTTGAGGTTCTCGTGGCAGAGACACTGGACTGGTTTGCCATTTCCTTCTCCAGCTCATTTTACAGCTGAGCAAACTGAGGCAAAAAGGGTTAAATGACTTGCCCGGGGTCACCCAGCTGGTGTCTGAGGCCAGATTTTAATCCGGGAAGATGTCTTCCTGACTCTACTGCGCCACCTAGCGCCCTGTTAAACAATTACCAGCAGCCATTGTTGAAGGCCTTCTGCAGAGTGGTTCCAATCTACCTTTCCAATCATATTTTATATTACTGACCTTCACACACTCCATTCCAACTAAACTGAATGACTGGCTGACTTCTTCCTGGTCTTTGGTAGTTTCCTGACTCCAGGCAGTTGCACAGATCATTCAATATAATAATAGCTAACATGTATATAGCACCTACCATGTGCTAGAGACACTGCTAAACTTTACAAATATTATCTCCAATGATCCGCACAACAACCCTGGGAGATAGGTGCTATTATTATGCCTTCTTCTTCTTCTTCTTCTTTTTTTTTTTTTGCTTTTCAGTGAGGCAATCGAGGTTAAGTGACTTGCTCAGGGTCACACAGCTAGTAAGTGTCAAGTGTTTAAGGCCGGATTTGAACTCAGGTCCTCCTGACTCCATGGCTGGAGCTCTATCTACCGTGCTACCTGGCTGCTCCTTATTATGCCTTTTTTAATAGATGAGGAAATTGAGGCAAACAGGTTGAATGATACCTATAGTCACACATCTAGTGAGTGTCTGAGGCCAGATTTGAACTCAGAAGTTCCTGACCCTAAGTTCTATCCTCTGAGCCACCTCACTGCCTCCAATATGCCTGGAACATAACCCTGGCCCATCCTGGGGATAAGAATTGGGCCAGGAACTTCATTGGAGGATGGATTTCCCTCAGTGCCTTCTCTGCAGCTTGTGTAGTCTGGGGTAGTTAGCCGGGGTCTTGAGAGATAAGATAGTACTTGAACCTACATCTTTCTGGTTGTCAGCAAAAACTTATTAAACACTTAGTCTGTGCCAGGTTAAATGGTGCTAGATACGAGGGATACAGAGAAAGGCAAAAAACTGTCAAGGAACGCGCATCCTAATGGGAATAACTAGGCACATACAAGATGCATACGGATAGATGTGAAGCTACAGAGAGCAAAGGATTAGCAGCTGGAGAGACTAGGAAAAGCCTCCTGCAGAAGGTAGGATTGGATCTGAAAATTAATAGAGGCCAAGGAAGGTGAGAAGGCAGAGCATCCCACGTGTTTGGGACGGCCAGAGAAAAGGCAGAGAGATGCAAGATGGGAAGTCATGTCCAAGAAACAGCAAATAGGCCAGTGTGGCTGAATTATAGATTTGGTGAAGGGGAATCAAGTGTAAGAGACTGGAAAGGTTGGAAGGAGTTAAGAAGAGTTTTAAATGCCAAACAGAGGAATTTATATTTGATCCTGAAGATAATAGCTCAGAGTCACTGGAAATCATTAAGCTAGGGAGAGGGTTAACACGATCTTACACTTTTTTTTTTAGTTTAATATTTTATTTTTCCCCAATTACAACAAATTAATATTTGTTTTTTAAATTTTGAGTTCCAGGGGCAGCTAGGTGGCGCAGTGGATAGAGCACTGGCCCTGAAGTCAGGAGGACCTGAGTTTAAATCCGGCCTCAGACTGAACACTTGACACTTACTAGCTGTGTGACCCTGGGCAAGTCACTTAACCTCAATTGCCTAAAAATTAAAAAATTTTTTTTTGAGTTCCAAATTCTTTTCTTCCCTCTGCTCCCCCCTCATTGAGAAGGCAAGCAATTTGATATAGGTTATACATGTGTAATCATGCAAAACATTTCCGTATTAGTCATGTGAAGAAAATATACACAAAAAAACCTAAGAAAAATAAAGTTAAAAAATATACTTTGATCTTATTTGCTCTTACACTTTAGAAAAGTCACTTTAGCAGTTGAGTGAAGGTTGGATTGGAGTAGAGAGACTTAAAAGAGGGAAGCTGAAGAATATTGCAATAATCTAGTCAAGAAATGAGGAGGCCGAACCAAGATGGTGGTGGTGGCTCTTGGGGTGGAGAGAAGGGCCTGGGTATGGGGAATCTTGTAGAAGCAGAAATGACAAGATTTAACACAGAATTAGATATGTGGGGTGAGAGTGAGGTTAAGGATAGCACCAAGGTCACAAGCCTGGGTGACGGCCCTTAACAGTAATAGAAAAGGGGGTAGCTAGGTGGCTCAGTTGATAGAGCACCAGCCCTGGAGTCAGGAGAAACTGAGTTCAAATCCAGCATCAGACACTTGATACCTATTAGCTGTGTGACCCTGGGCAAGTCACTTAACCCCATTGCCTAGCCAAAAAAACAAAAAAAAAAAAAACAGTAATAGAAAAGTTGGGAAGAAGGGAGGGTTAGGGTGGTGGCGGTGGAGATAAGTTCTGTTTTGGACATGTTGAGTTTTGAGATGCCTATGGAACATCCAATTTGAGATAACCAAAAGACAGTTGGCAGTTGATTGAGAGATAAATAGATCTAGGAATCATCTGCATAGAGATGATAATTGAACCCACGGTAGCCCAGGAGATCTACAAGTGAGAGAGTAGAGAAAAAAGAGAGGAGTGCCCAGGGCACAGCCTTGAGGGATACCCATGATTGATGGGTGTGACATGGGTGAAGAGCCAGCAAAGATAAAGAAAGAAAAAGAGGCAGGAAAGGAGACTGAGAAGGAGGCAATGTCATGAAAACCTAGAGAGGAGAGAGAATCCTGGAGGAGATCGACAGTGTCAGATGCTGCTGAGAAGAGAGAGGGCAAGACGAGATGCAGAAAGACCATTAGATTTGGCAATTAAGAGATCATTGGAAATGGAAAATAATTTTTCCTCAACTAGACAATTTAAATTTGAATATTAGTTGTATTACTTTCTATTTTCAGAATCTCTAACCCTCAGTTTCTCTAAAAGTAAAACAGGGATAGGGAAGATGTGGGCAAGGAGCCTTTGATCTTTGTGATTTGTGCCTGGTTGAATGCATCTGTTTTATATTTTGGTGTCCACTGTAGTGAGAAGTCCCCTCCCTTTGAATATACTGTGAAAGATGAATAAATGTGCTATTGTAACATTGAGGAGGGTAGTTTCAGTTGAATGACGAGGTCAGAGCAGAGATTTTGGTGGAGGAGAGATGAAGGAGACATCAGTGGTGAATAGCTTTCTAAATGAGCTTAGCCCTGAAAGAGGAGGAGAAATATAGGATGAGAGCTAGGAGGGATGGTTGGATCAAGTGAGGATTTTTAAAGGATGGGGTTAAGACATAGGTTTTTTTGGTTGTTTTTTAGAGTCTTTGTAACCTCATTTGGAGTTTTCTTGGCAGAGGTATTGAAGTGGTTTGCCATTTCCTTCTCCAGTTCATTTTACAGATGAGGAAACTGAGGCAAACAGGGTGAAGTGACTTACCCAGGGTCAAACAGCTAGTGAGTGTCTGAGGCCAGATTTGAACTCAGGAAGAGGAGTCTTCTTGACTCCAGGCCTGAAATTCTATCGACTGCACCACCTAGCTTCCCATTTGTTTGTAGGGAGTAGAGAAAAAATCAGTAGTTAGGAAGAGATTTAAAAGATCGGGAATGATAGTAGAAGCAATCTGCAGGACGAGTCAGGAGAAAATGGCATCCTGGGGACATGTAGAAGGATTGACCTTGGCAAAGACAAGGGCCACCTCTTCATTGGAGATATGTGGGAATGATGTGAGATAAGAAGAGGACAAGGAGGATATCTCTGGGAACAGTTTCAATTTTTTTGGAGGCAAAATCCTCAGCTGAGATGGTGGAAACAGTGGGGTACTCTGGGAGGATCGCTGCTATGGAAATCGAGCTAGTAAATTGATCAGGAAGGAAAAGAATGTTTACTTTGCTATAGTGAGGCCCAGGTAAGCTTAAGTTCCATAAATTTATAGTGGACCAAATCAACATGGTGTTTGTGATTGTTTTCTAGCTCTATTCTGTAGAACGTGAATAGGAATGAAGGAGGCAAATTATGGGGGTTATGGCACAGTGGATAGTGTCTGGCCTAGAGTCAGAAGACTCATCTCATGAGACAAATGTGGCCTCAGACACTTACTAGCTGTGTGACCCTGGGCAAGTCACTTAACCCAGTTTGCCTCAGTTTCTTCATCTGTAAAATGAGCTGGAGAAGGAAACGGCGAACCACTCCAATATCTCTGCCAAGAAAACCCCAAATGGAATCACAAAGAGTCAGACATGACTGAACAACAAGAAGATGTAAATGTCCACACTGAAAATTTAATAATTGACTCATGAGAGCCGGCTCCAGCACACCCCTGGGTGAGAGAATGAATGTCATCAGGAGGGAGGCGGGTCTCAGTGAGGGACAGAAGATGGAAGGAGTGAGAGAGGAAGATGTTTAGGATG